TACGATATATATGTATATATATTAAGCCTATGATGCTTTTATTTCTACAGATTTGGGATTTTGAATCTGGTCACTGCCTGCACACCCTGCAGGAGCACACGTCCCACATCAACTGCCTGGCCTACGACCATCAGGTTATCGTCAGGTACAATATATGCTGCACATGTACTTTCAACTACAAAGATTTGCATGGGTGTGTTTGTTGGTGCATTCATAAATATGAACAGTATGTATTGGTGAATAACCACAGACCAGATCTATACCCATATAGGGTTGATTGACTATCTCCAATCAACATATTATTTCTCTGTACGGCCTCGTGTAGGGGGCAGACTTTGAAGGTTTATATTGGCGTTCTATGCTCGTGCCTGGACTTGAGTTATTTGTTGGATGGTATTCAGTGGTTGCCCTTGTGGGTTGCATGTTAATGAGGCGTCATACATCACGATTTATGAGACGCCCCATCAAACTGTCCTGAACGCTGTAGTTAATACCTTCACACATCATCATCGATCTGACTAGATGAAATTTTTTAGAAGCCTGTGTGCGGTTGCAAAGTTAACTCGGTCCTGCCAACACGCCCAGGCATCCGGAACAAGATTGATCACAGGGAACAATGCATCCACCTATCAGATGTCTGGACTATAGCTATTACTAGTAGAGTTACTAGTACATTATGTATGCGAGCTGGGCATATCCCATATTTTACTTATGTGTATGATGTATTTATATGTTAATTGTATATATCCCATTCTTTAATTATGGGTATGATGTATTTACAAGTTAATTATATATATCCCATATATCAACTATGTATATCTATGTATTAATATATTAAATCACTGATATAAATACAGCGGGTCTGGTGACAACACAGTCAAGATCATCAACTTTGGCAATCCGGACTGTGAATTCGAAGGCATAGCGACGTAAGTTGGCTGGGTGTTTGTAGAGAGTGTCTGTGCGTGACTGTAGTTCACTGGTGTGCACCCACCTCTGTCGTTCTGTGTGTGTGTGGCTATTTTAAAGCATGGTCTCCTTGGCAACGGTACTCGCAAGTGTCGACCAAAGGAGTACGAGAAGCAATTTGAAGCTATTCCGGTATCCCGATTTTCATAGATCTTTCTACAGTCACTTTATTAGTGATTTTATTGATATTTGCATAGTTCACTGTACTAGCCGGGTTTGTTTTTCTGTGTGTCCATAGTAGACATGCGTGTTTATATTGCATCGTTGTTCCTATCCGATTTTAACTGATGTTTCCATATTTCACTTCGATAGCCGGGGTTGTTTTCCTGTGTCTCTACATTAGACATACGCGTTTGGATTGTATCGTTGTTTGTACCGTGTTGACCCTTATGTTTCTGTATTCATGAACAGCAAGTGGTGTGCGTGGTGTGCGTTCTACACGTCTATGCGTTAATGTACGCAGAGATACATATCTTGCATTGAACTCAGTACTGACTGTGCCAGTCTGGGCGGGAGCGCTGGTTTGGCTGGGCCAATGGTTCGGCTGTATTGGTCATATGTATTTTGGTCTACGGCTGATTAAACTGGCCACCGCTCCGCGTTTTACCTACTTCGTGGTTCGTCTACACCATAACGTTATCTTCAGTTTCAGCGACTGCTAAAAGTGTCATCCCTATTCACTTCCTAGGGTAGGATTTGAACTCACATGGTTTAAGTTAACAGTTCAAAGTTCTACCTACCGATAAACCAGGTTTTCATGGTAGTTACATCACTTCTGTTGTTTTGGTATATGCACCACTGCTAGATACGTCGTCGAGGCCTTGATGGGCATGCATGGCACCATTTCTCTCTAATTTTCTATCATCGCTATATAGCGTGCTCGACATCTTAAAACATTTCCTGTCGATGCTTTCACTGCCAATGACTGTTTCGCCCAGAATTGTTCCTCGTTGACTGTCTAATACACTATTGACTGACCAACACATCGACACTCCTCCATAATTGCCCACTACAGTAAAGTGCCGTGGGAGATAAGAACGCGTGCCAAGTCACTGTCAGGTACTTTCACCACCAACGTTGTGAGCACCCAACCGCTGATGCAACGGGAGCCGTGCAGCACAGCCAGCCATCGCACAGAAGGCCAGGTGCGCGCATAGGTCAGTATGGTGGACAATTAACGAGGAATTATGGATAGGTATCGCTTAGTAGGCGATGAACCAACAATCCAACACAGAACATAGACATTGTTTACAGATAATTCAACTGGCACCCGAGACAGATATAGGCGGTATGGTGGACAAATAAGGAGGAATTATAAATAGGAATCGCTTGGTGGGCGATTAACAAGCAATCCAACACAGAACATAAGAATTGGATAGAGACAACTGAACAGACATCCGAGACAGAACTAGACAGTAAACTCAAACGCGACATCGTACAAGTAAAATAAACAACGAGGTAGTTGGAAGGGACAGAACACAACAATTGTATAGAGACAACTAAACAGACACCCAAGACAGAACTAGACCCAAACGTAGACATCATACAACTAACCTAAGAGATCAAAATAAACAACGAGGTAGTTGGAAGGGACAGAACACAACAATTGTATAGAGACAACTAAACAGACACCCGAGACAGAACTATACACTCGCCTCAAATGTGGATATCTAAAACGCGAGAGACGTTATCTTAATAGTCAAACTTGCAGTAATCTGGGACAGAACTACTGGACGGGTATGGCGCAAACAGCTGCAATTGATAGTGTAGGAGTATGGATAGGTTGAATATAACACTGATGCGTGTGAACACAACTCGTGCCGATGCGCTTAGGCACCCGGTATATTATATTCAGCGTCAAGATAAAACGAATAGGGTTTGGTTACCAATCCATCCATCCGTCCCGTGAAACCAGGAATGCAACACGTGTGCACGTCCGCGCAGGCATTGTATATCAATTTATGTTTGCTTGTTTTTGGCACAATACTCTTTTTTTTCTTGGGCGTATGTACACACAGCTATTCCGTTGTTGCCGTATGCTCATCAACCTCTGTGTTAGGTTTAGACCGTTTGTTATCCGGCTCCTCCGACCTCTCCTCGCTGGCGGGTTCAGCCTCTTTTGCGGCGTCTTCTGCTGTTTCCTTTGCCGTTGCGGTTTCATCTGCGGTTTCGGGCTCCTTTGTGGTTGCGGTTTCTGTGGCAGGTTGACTTTCCGTCTTAGCACTCGCGTCGTCTACTGACCATTTCATACCTCCCTTCGCCATTGCCATTTTATCAATCATCTACACAACAAGACCAGTCGCACATGATGTCAGGATAGTTATATATATATATATATATATAATATAATATATATGACATATACACACATACATACATATATATATATATATATATATCTATATCTATATATATATATGCGTACACATATGCACATATACACGCACGCGAAATTAAGCTAGTTAACTCACATCTCTAGAGACGTGTAATAGAGTACTCATCCTTGACACGACAGCTACGATTATAGCGGACTATGCGGTGACGCCCACGGAAACATTCATAGATATTGCATTCTCACCCGCTTTCAAGATTGTCCAGTATTCAACTGGGTTGTTGGGTTGTTGGGTTGTTGGATTTGTACTATGGTGTTGTGTTGTACTACTGTCGAGTATCCAAGTGTCTACCATGCGCTTCATCTACAAATTCCGCAACCGGACGAGTGTGCTCGGGGCGTAGATTACGTATGATTACTACGAATGATTACAACGAATGATTCCGCATAGACTACCACATCCCATTTCGCTACCCATGCACACAGGTAGGTCTGACAGATGACCAGACAGGACTAACATACAAAACAGTCAGCGATCACCAACTGTGTATGACATACGTACCACAGCCTATAACACAGATCCGTCCAAAGCAAAGCCCTCATTAAACCAACAACCATGGAAAACCCCCCAAAAAACTGCCAATACTGATACCACATTCGCCATCTGTCGGAAATCGAGTCTTCACCTTTCACAACGTGCATGAATAAATGAGCCTCGCATAGCAACCACAACACATACCGCTGAGATGGTGATGACGGCTGGGTTGTCTAGCACCAGCGTGTAACTCTTCTGCGTACATACAGCGTCTATCCTCCCGCCTTTTCGCGCAAATGTGTCCTGGGTGTTTAATGCGGACTGTCAGGGCGAGGGCACGGTACACGTTGGGATATTAGTGGTGGTCGTAGATATACGATGATGCCAGGTGTGTGGATAGAAGTGACAGTGGTAATAGTAATAGCCGAAGATATACGATGATATGATGCCAGGTGTGTGGGTAGATGTGAAAGTGGTATTAGAGGTGGTCGTAGATATACGATGATGTCAGGTGTGTGGATAGAAGTGACAGTGGTAGTAATGGCCGAAGATATACGATGATGCCAGGTGTGTGGATAGAAGTGACAGTGGTAATAGTAATGGTCGTAGATGTACGATGATGCCATGTGTGTGGATAGAAGTGACAGTGGTAATAGTAATGGTCGTAGATGTACGATGATGCCAGGTGTGTGGATAGAAGTGACAGTGGTAGTAGTAATTGTCATAGAGACGTGGTTATACGAAAATATCAGGTGGTGAGTGGGTACGGTTGACAGTGGCAATCCGTTTCACGCTATGCATCTGAGAACCCAACCCCCCGAGCGAGTATATCGCTCGAGTTCAAATATAATACAATTCAGTACGCAATGCAAACAGCCACAGACATCCTTCTCAGCCCCAAAATACGCGATAGAGACACCAAATTATAAGAGATGTAGATGTAGCATATTGTATACAGAAATCCCTGATTAAGTAGGTCCCGATGTACACCCACCCCTTCTTATGTGGTCTTTATTCAAACAATCGGAGCCAATTTGACCACAGGTTTGCGACTCTTCCGACGCCAGAAATGACGCGCGCACAAGTGTAGGACAATCAACGCTGCCGGTGTGTTGGTGCACACAATCAAGAACACAGCCACTCACATGGCTCCAAGATCAGCCCACAACTCTCCTTTCATCCGTGGCAGGGTGTGCTCTTTTCGAGTACATACTTGACTTGTACTACACAACTACTACGAAAGTGTGTATCAGACCTACCACTGACCTCCGGTATGTCGAGCACTTTCAGGTCAATTCACCCGTCCCGTCTCCGCAGTTGCGGTATCCACCGAATTGAAGCGGAGGGTATCGATCAGTCTGCATGACATGCATACACACACCATCGTATAATCACACATACATAAAAGACTACACACCCCATACACTCACATATATATGAAACAACACACAGCCATACCATGGCTCTGGATACCTTGTGTGACGGGCACTCCCCAGCTGCTCACCTGTTGCGTCTCTGCAGTGAACTTATCCGTCAGGCCGTAGTGGAGAGGATCAACACAACTCCCACCCACATCTATCTCAGACATATGCCCTCGGTGTCATGACACAGGCGCATACATGCGCACACTATATTCCACTCACAGCTACATGAATGAAACATAGAGCCATGTCCTTGACTCAGCATACCTCCTGCGTGTCTAGCACTTTCTGGTTACAGGCGCATATATGCACACATTATATTCCACTCACATATACATACATGAAACATAGAGCGGTGTCTATGACTCAGCTTACCTCCTGTGTGTCCAGCACTTTCTGGTTACTCGCCCGTTGTGCCTCTGCGGTTGCGGTATCCAGCAGATCGTAGTAGACAGTGCCGATGAGCTCACTCCCATCAGCCGCACTCATGGCCTTAGCAAACTTGGGGTTTACATATAGAAGTCGGCCCTCTCCATCCAAGACGTACACGCTGTTATAAGGAAGACGTACACACTCGTATAAAAAAGACGTACATACTCTTATAAGGAGACGTACACACTCTTACAAGGAAGACGTACATGCTCTTACAAGGAAGACGTACACACTGTTATAAGGAGGCGCACGAGTGTAGGAGGTTTGTCTAGGTTGCACTGAGAATGTGTGCGCGTGTGAGTTCTGGCTCAGACTGGCGCGGGATAAGGGATCGTGTGCGAGTATGTGTTTGTTGTGATACGAACGGGAAAGGGCCCATGCGTTGGTGTTTGGCCAGGTTGCAACGAGTTAGTGTGTTTATATGCGCGTTTTTGTTGCTGGATTGGCATGAGAGGAGAGTGTGCGAGAAAGTGTGCATGTGTATGTATGTGTGTGTGTGTTAAGGTCACAACAGGGGAGCCTGCAGTAGAGGTGGTGTGTTTGGCGAGTGTTAAGTATGGATGCAGAGGATAGAGCTCGCAAGCAAGTAAGTGTAAGCTGAATACACGGTGAGTGCGTGCACATTCATGTACAAGTGCCATGTGTACGGGCACATGGGTGTGCATGTAAATTAGCCAACACGTATTTGTAGTGCATTTATGTGTGCGTCTTCATCGCGTCGCCTGCCTAAGCCTGCAATGAGCCTCTAAATAGATAGTAAATAGGTACTAGTACCCTAATCTATAAACTACCTGGGATTGGTCTGAACTACTGATCGAAAACTAGGAAGCAAGCGAGATAGATCAATGGGCATAGTGTAAGAGGTGCAGAGATGTGATATCACGTTGATACGGATATAAATATATGTGTGACAGGAAGCTTCGACATCGAAAAAAAAAGGTCTATGTATAGCAATACGCAATAGCTCAGTATACTTGATTTGAGGAAATATAGAGTGTAAACGTGCATCTGAGATTAATTGAAGTATATTTGAGAATACGGACACCCGATCTAAATAGTAGTTATTTGTAAGGCTATGTACTAGGTTATGTATGTATATGATACTCGGGTCACATCAACGCAATATTGCAATTTGTATAAAACTATAAAGCCAAATATACTTAC